ATAATATATAATTTTTTCCAAGACTTTGTCATTGAACAAATACTTCTTTAACATGTTTACTCACAAAAACTGAGGTTCCTTACCAGGCATTTGTGCGAGATACCAGATGATGACAATTCTTATATGATCCTTTTGGGAAAAAAAGTTAGCCAAAATCATATTTTTAGTGTTTCAAATTTTTAAAAACAATAAGACACATGTTTAGAAATCTTAAAGTAAATATAGTCTTATTTATCACAAAAGTTAAAGAAAGAAATTCTTATAAAATCATGCATAGGATATTACAGTATACAGATATTATACAATTATGGACTCTTTTGGTGTTGAATATGGTTTGTTATTCACCAGAAAAATATTCATATTGACCGAGGCGAAGCCGAGGTCAATATGGATATTTTTCTGGTGAATAACAAACCATATTTAACACCAAAAGAGTCCATAGTTGTTTTATTATATAGTCGGGATTTGAAAAGATAAGACATTCAAGGCTGTATGACGACACCATTTTCATTAGTGATCTTCCATTGTTGAAAATAAAAAAAATCTCCAGATTACTGTTTGTAGCCTCCGTGTTTTCCTTTCCGGTTTTTGCTATGTGTAAGACGTCCAAATGTTAAAAAATAATCCTGAAATAGGTTTGAATAATTGTTTTCCTGCACAGATACATAGCTCGCTACGGCCGTTGCAACCATCGTTTACAACGTTGTTTGATAATTTGATTGTGACGTCACAATGTCGTTGCACGCGCATTGACCCTCCGGTGAATACGGCCTAAAATCCGGTGAATATGTAGTGTTATGAACTGTTTGCGTTTGTATAGATTATATAGGGACTATAAATAGACTATATAATAATATAGTTTACATCGTATACTTGTTGCAAATATGTTTACTTTGTGTCAACTGATCTTGTTATTATAATAAAAAAAAAGATAACTGAAAATTGTATTCTCTCAAGCAATTTTATTTCCACTTATGCACTTCGATGTTTTTTTTTACAAGAAATGTTGCAAGAAATTAGAGAAGCCGTGTGTACATGTAGCTGATTGTTGAGGTGTGATAAAAGTTTGAGAGTTACTATCAACAAACAAAAGGAAGAAAAATTGGACTTTGAAGAAAAAGAAGAAATACCAGAAAAATTACAAGAAAAAGAGATTATGGAAATACAAGGGGATTTAGATATTAAAAGAGAAACACGCACACGTGGAGATTTAGATGATTTGCATCGTTGTAGCGATTTCTAGTAATTATATTTACGAGCAGTGGTCCTTTTCATAAACATCCTTACGACTAAGAAAAAAAATTCCTCCCATTCTAGAACAATATCTAAGATGCCAATTATATAATATATTTTTTATATTATATCATACATATATTTTATGATTACATTGTAAATAAAAATTCAGAAAAGCATCTTTATTAATTCATGAGTTACAGAACGGTGAACTTTTTGTCTTAATATTTTTTTTGAAAAATGCCACTGTGTACTCATATATCTTGAACATATTCACAGTTGTAATGCCCTTACACGATTACCTTAATAACTAAAACTAAATTGTAATACAAACAATTTCAAAATATCGAATTCATTACCTTTCTTTTAATGAAATCCTCCGATGAAAAATTAAATAGTCTCATAAAATCATCAGACATAAAACAAAATTGATTCTCATTTTATTCTAAATAAATTTTGTGACTGTTTTACTCATTATTTAAAAACAACCGCAGTACTCCTTCTTAATGACCCTTGATATTGAGTTTAGACAAATATATATCTTTAAGGTTAAAAGGACAATGAAACACTGTTATTTAACTATTTATTTCCTAGTAATGAAGACGTAAAAGGAGAAGATATAGAAGACAAAACAAACCTAGCAGACTTGGATTGTGGTAGCGACTTTTGGTAATGCAAATCTTTTTTTAAACCGATATCGTTACTTGAATTTGTTCAGGAATATTATGTGAATGTAAACTTTATTGGAATTATCTTATTTGACAGCGAATATTTTCAGAAAAAAATAGGAAGTCTAGCTGCCCATTTCTTTTCCAAATGCATAGTATTGTTAGCATTTTTAAATCGACTGTATAAAAATTGGCAGGTAATGGATTCAGAAGGACAGTGAAATTTATATCATAAGTACAGTAAGGAATAGATTGCCAGAAAGCATTCAGGAAGAATTTAAAAATGTTTTCAAAAGCTTAGGTGTAGTCAGAAGTGGAAAGATTCTCCAGAATACACCAAATTTATGACGGTTGTGAAACAGGATAAGAAGCAGGTAAAATCCCCTCCGTTGGTTAATAAGCTGCAGCAAGTTCTAGGACAATTGCTGGTGGCTCTTGACGATGGTGAAGAATGTCCTAGACATGCTCGATGGGGGGGGGGGGGGGTAAGGTCCAGACTGAGTGCAGTCCATGGTAATGCGGTGATATTCTGATGTTGGAGATAATCTTTCACGATCCTGTTCATATGACATCTAACATTGTTTTCTTAAAAAAATGCATCGGCGGCCATTATGGCAAGCAAAAGGACTATATGGGATACAATGTACCGAGATGTTGTCCGGAGCTCTCTCCTATCCATGGTTGTATGTTCAAAAAGTTTATTAATCACTGATATTTAGGCCTCTCTATTGCGACGTAATATTCAGGTAATTGACAATATTTCTTTCCATCGCAATTGAAATTAACAATTGACCTCAGAAGCGTACAACAAAGGCTTCATACACTGCAATTGATTATTTAAAGGTTGCATCAAAGCTCGTTTTCAGACTATGCTTTATTCTCAATTGTCAATATTTAAATGAGTTACAATACATTCTCTTTTCATTCAACCATGGTCAGAATGGCAGATGATCATTCATGTTGGCCGTGAGTTCCCAACCATGGATAGATCCTGTAGCATGATGTCTGGACGATGGTATGCTAATAACAGCCAGGGAAACATCCATTCTCTTGCCTCAGCTACCTGTTCTTTGTCACTGTTGATTGTCAAAAGCACGTGACTTCTAATTCTTTGTTTGGCGGCGCATCATTTCAGTTTATTTACCAACTTATTATCAGTTACTTTCTGTTCATATTTTCCACTCTTTTTAGAGTGGATTTAACCTGCAATTGAGAGGCTTAACATCGTAGACCATCAGTAGCATTCTGTGCAACGCATGACATTGTAATTGATGGTTTTTGATGGTGTTTTTTTCGAAATGCTTCAGCATTATGGAACTATACAAAGAGGTTACCTTTCCCCTTCATCATGTGAACATTTTTTATCATAAACTACAGAACCCCCGACATTTTGAATAGTATATCTGTCTTTTTTACAATACCAAAATTCGTCCGTTTAATCCTAAAAGGAACCTTAAATCTCTAAAGTCACAATTTTATGGAAGAGTGATTTGAACCCCTTTGGTGCTTAATCTAAGTGTTCAATATGTTCAATTTTTGGAAATGCACGTCATAATATGTTTCTGTTTTACAGAAAGAATGAAGTAATAAAAAGGAAACAAATTAATATCTTTTCAGAATACTTTTCATCTTTTGCAAACATGAGAAGTGACCAAGGATACAGTACTTGCACTTCATGTGTATTCATTGAAACACCATCTTACATTCACGTCATAAAAAAAAAACATTGAAATATTTCATACGCAGACCCACCTCCTTAAAATGAAATGCAATAAATTAATAAAAAAGAAAGATGCTATGGATAAAAATCCTTCTCGTTTTTCTCACGTGGTCATATGGTCAAAACAACCTTCAATATATATAATTATTTCAGATTTTGTTTGAAGGCAGTGTTTCTGTTCACGATGTGCAAGGTTATCAAATTCATCTATTTTATTCCAGGCATCCAGACCTGCAAGACGAATCAGAAGAGTTGAGATGTGGTAGCGACTTCCGGTTAGTATTTGTGGTTAATATCTTTTTTTATGCATCGAATCATACTTTTGAAATCTAACTTAAAGTTTATTATTTTTTTTTAAATTTTTTTGACATCTTTTGTTTAATTTATAATAGGTACACAAAGAACGTTAAACATCATATTGCTACCCTAACATTTAAAATTAATTCTATTTCCACATTCCTAAATTTTTTCCTGAAAACAAAATATGAAATCTGATCGAAAAGTAATGTCATAAGTGCTATATCATCTTTCATAATCGAACGTTTTTGTAAAATGTTTAATATATCCTCAACTTCACATTTACCCTAAAACTTCATATAGATATGAACAATATAGTTTTCATAAAATGTATATACTAAAATGCAGATCAAATCTTATCTCTCGCCAAATAGTAAGAGTGTATCGAAGTCGTGATGAAGTTGGACTTAAACACAAATTAAATCTGATGGCAAACCAAATACCATCAAAAATCTCAATATGTATGTAGAGAGAGGGCGTCATAAGTTTTTAGAATGTGTGCCCTAATCCCTTGTAATAAGAACTTACAATAAAATATGTTCAAACCAAACCATTAAAAAACTCATAAGAGCTTCAAGATCAGCCAAGATCCCAAAACGCATAAGGTAACTTTCCTTACGTTTTCTAAATAATTTAACTAGCAAATCTAAACAATTGTGATCGATCGCTTTTGGTACCTTAGTGGTAACGGTCGCTTGAAATATTAAAGTCCTATCTCTTCTGATTTTAAATCTATCACTAAGAAGGTTTTCGTTTTTGTGACGGACAAACAACTATAGCTAGAAAGACTGACAAACTGACGGACAGACAGACGAATGAGATGAAATGTCCTTCTGCTCTCCAAAAGAGCAAGTGTCAAATGTAATTATGTAATTAAGTTACATTTCTTAGCAAAAATTAGACAGATAAGTGTATTACATGTAGTACGCCATTAAAAAGGTTAAGTTCAAGTACGACAGATATCTGGATGCTTGAGTATTCTGACGATTTTTTTTATCGGAAGGGAAGTCCTAAAAGTTATATGTCTTGTTTAACTGGCAGTTCATGTATTCGAACGCTTCACATATCCGTATTGATTGACTAGGAACGAAAGCGTCCGGATAAACGAGGATTCACTGTAAATGACATGATTAATTTTGTTTTTGATTGGTCTCACACAAACCTAAAGAAACTTATTTTTGAGAGAAAAAAAAATGAACTTTTAAAAAGGATACAATAATTACAATCATCTTCTTGTAACATTCTACATTCAGAATTTTAAGTTCGTAATGTGTCTTTGTGGTATATTTAAAAAAGAATCGTTTTGCTTTGTGTGGCATTGAACAAAGCTTCCTCGTACGCAGTGTAATGCTGTGAGGTCGTTATATTGGCCTTGTGTTGAGTGTGGAATAATTTGAGATGTGAATACTATGCTTATTTAAGATGTCATAGTAGAAGAAGCAGTGCAGACTTTGTATTCTGTATTTAGAATACATGATGAAAGAAACGTTATTACTTGTAAGCAATTTATTACAAGTCTGGCATAAGGTAATAGAAAATTTATCTTAATCATTGTGAATGCTGGTAATTAAGATAGTGGAGTTACACCGAATATTGTGATATCACATTTGGATCACTTTTGTGAAGAAGAAACGTAAGCATGTTAAGTTGTTAAACTGTTTGACTACCCCACAAAGCTACTTTAATCGACTTTCCTGAGAAAGTAAAGTTTCCGAAGATATCTAACAGTGATTGATCAAGGACACATTCCAGGAGTTCCCAGAAATTAAAAAAAAAGTGGGTCAGAAGGTTAGGAAGGCCCTCGGCCTTCATGGGATTTGATCATGTGTCCTACTTGCTTCATATCCCAGAGAAGTTCTTAATCTATTTATTTCTTAAATGAAATGAAAATTAATAAAATTCTATCACTGGCATACATTTTCAGAACATTTAAGCTTTGTTGTATCCTAAAGGGATGAGGATAATCTTTCAGAGCACCGATGTATACACATGTATAACTTTCGAAATTTTTAAACAGTGAGATTGGGCACAAGTAAGAATATGTTTGAAATTTTCCAAGTATTTTATATCTACATTAACTCACACTCTCGGTTTAAATAAAGCAGCAGCACTGTTAGGGTTAAGGAAAATATCCTTTAATCTTTATTTAAAAAAGAATGGTTAATATCTTTTCAGTACATGTCCTTGCAAAAAGGCTATTTGTTTGATTTTTTTGTGGTTATTTATTAATACAGTGCTACGTTGAGAATTGTTTCCTTTTCTTAAAAATATAGAATTACCTATTTTTGTCTGATGTCTAGCTAAACATTTTCCGTATTTGTTAGCCCCCCCCCCCAACCCTATATGCAACATAAACAATGCTGCTTCCTACTCCTTAATACCCTAGTTTTTTCTTCATATTTTCGTAAACTGTGATAAAATTAATGCTATTAAAATCAATATATATGAACATTTTCAAAGTACATGAATATATTAAACACGTGCGCTATCATTGTGTATAATTTAAATTTATTTAAGTTTTTCTATCAATGTATCGGTCTTATTTCTTTCTGGTCAGAAATGAATTTCACAGCATTAAGGTAGATTCATAATTTTACTTATCCGGTTTTGTTTTACACACCAATATGAAATTCTGATTACCACTTTTCTATTCAAATAAAATCTTGTTGGATGATTGAAAATAATATAGCCAGAATGTATCTATTTATTATACATTTAGTGTGACTGTGTATACAAAACATTTAATATACATTTTTTATCGAAATTAAACTTTGCACTCTGTCCATAGAACCTATATGTCATGAAGTACATACAAAGACACAAAATTCTGATTTTCCTTAATGGACCTAAAGTTTAAAAAAAAAAAATAAAACAAAGTAACTTCAGACCCATTTTTTTCTCGATTTAAAGCCTTTATTATCTTTTTGAATTTTACTTTTTAAAAAAATTGCAAAGAATGATTTTAAAAAATTGATTTGCCAAAATGGGGCGTTACATGTTCAATATATTGTTTTGCAAAAAATTATCTGGTCCACCATAATAAAATAATGTGTTTTATTAACTTTTGATATAATTCTAAATAGTTTTACAGAAAAATGGAATATAAACAGTTTAGGTTATGAGAAATATGAAAAATAGACATATTTTGAGATATTTTTCTGAAAGACGTCAGCTGATCAACATCAGTTTGTTAATGTTTCCAATAGACATTTTCTTGGCAAATGATTTTTGTTTTTTTTATTTTTAGAAGTTTTTATATAAATTTTAAGTGATTTCGTACATATCTAAATATAATATGATATCGCACTTCTTAATGTCGAATTTTGGCTACTGTATTTTTAGAGGTACAGTGTATGTTTTCTGGGATATTGGATTAACCTGTAGATAAATTGTTGATTTTTATGTGCCCGGATCGAAAGATCCGAGGAGGCATATATTGTTTTTGTCCTGTCTGTCTGTCAATCTGCAAACTTTTACCTTCGCCATAACTTTTGAAACATGAATAGTTGAGACTTCATATTTGGTGTACCTACTCCAATAATTAAGTTCTTTCAAATAACATCAAGGTCAATGACCTTGTGACCCTAATTGTGACCTGTATGCTAAAAATAGTTTTTTTTCCTGCAAACTTTAACCTTCGCCATATCTTTTGAACCATAAAAGATACACCACTTATTAAGCTCTTTTAAATGACACCATGGTCAATGACCTTGTGACCGTTACTGTGACCTATACACTTAATATAGCTTTTTTGACGGCAAACTTTAACCTTCATCATAACTTTTGAACCAAGTAAGATAGAGAACTTCGTATTTGGAATGCAACCTATACTAAATAAGGCCATACACATGACACCAAGATCAATTAACTTGTGACCTTGACTGTGACCTATATGCTAAATATAGCTTTTCTAAACTTGCACCATAACTTTTGAACCATGAGAGATAGAGACTTCTTATTTGGTTTACGTACTTCACTAATCAAGTTCCTTCATATGACACCAAGAACAATGCCGTTGTGACATTGACTGTGACCTATATGCTAAAAATATATTTTTTAACTTTGTTGCCGCTGGGCGCATATTTTTTCACAAACGCATCTTGTTCTCACATATTTTTGCGTTTAGTGGAATAATTAACGAAAAAATCTTGCATATTCCAAATACATGCACTGCAATTAGGATATAAATTTAACATATAAGTATGTAAAAACACACACGATTAAGTTCAACATAACATTGTAGTAATTGCTTTTTTCATCTTTGTACTTTTCATTTTTCCTAATCTTGAAATTCTAAATTCCTCATAAATTTGTTTACATTTTCACCTGATGATTTTCCAAAGAACTTTTTGCAAAAAAAAAAAAATGATCATGAAAGATTTTTTTCTAAATATTTCAAGAGGAAAACGTCAAAATAGTCCCAAAACATATAAACCACATCATATGAAAATTGCACAAAAATACAAGATATTCTGGAAGTTCAAAGGAACATTCTGTCAAATTTCCATGGAATTTTTTTTTTCTCTCATAAGATTTCTAATCAAGTAAAACCACGATCTACCTTGATTAATTATATATTTTTCTTTATCTAAATTTTATTTTTTTAAAATTATTTATCATTTAGATTCACGAAAGCCTTTGTTGACGACTGTGAGATCTGCCTATCACAAGAACTAATGCGTATAACGCAAGCAAACGAAGAGCATATAAAAAATTATAATCGGCTTAGTAGAGAACTTGAACAAATCAAGAGAAAGACACGGGAGGTAATTCTTAATTCAAAAATTAATATTGATGAAATATGAGGTATAATTCTTATGTATTTCAGTTGAAAACGATTTTTTCCGATTATCTTGGTGGAATATGGTTAAAACGAACAGTACTCAAGGTCAAGTTATATCTTAATCATACTAAAAGCTAGTATATCAAATACAAGAATATCTGATGTAGGGACAGGTGCAATAGAGGAGTAAGCTTTTCCTATCGCCTGGTCACAAGGTAAATGCATCCACCAAGGAACATGCCTAGTGATATTAGATTTTTTTTTTTGGGGAGGGGGGGGGGCTGTTTCATCAGAAACCTGTAACCATCTTTAAATTATTTATACGAAGGGAATGATTTTGTATAGCTCGGTGAAACATCAATGGGGAGTAAAAACGAGTTGTAATTTGATAAATTGATTGCTATGAAGGTTCTGATGATGCAATCACCTACTGTAATGCTAGGTTCATCCAAAGAATCTGTGACTTTCACCCCTGGTACCGGCCGATTGGTGAAGGAACAATCTCTACCTTTATGTCATAGGTTTGATGCTGCATGACAAACGAAAATCGAATCTGGGCCTTCTGAAACAGCTGAATGGTCATTGCTAGTTAATAATAAATAAATATATCTTTATGTCGAGTTTGATGTCAGAAAGCCTTTATAAGTACGTATGTTTTGTACATTGTGTTTCTTATGAATACAAGAAAGATCTGGGGGAAAGATGCATTTAGAAATGGACTTTTATGGAATATGAATTTGTGCAAAATCTTGAAGAAAACACTTGATGTAGCCTTCAACTCGACATTTAGATATGCCGACGACGTATTTTCAAGTAACAATAGTAATTTCCATTCCTACGTCGACACAATATATCCCGGTGAGCTTGAGATATAAAAGATATCACAGAGTCTGACACATCTGTTTCATACTTGGATATTTTACTTGAAAAAGACATTAATGATAATCTAGCAACCAAGCTATAAGATAAACGTGATGACTTTAATTTTTCTATCGTCAACTTCCCTTACTTATGCAGCAATATACCTTCATCACCTGCATACGGAGTATATATATCTCAGTTGATTCGTTACGTAAGATCATGCTCAACGCATGAACAATTTCTAAAACGAGGTAAATTATTAACAAGCATGTTGATGAAACAATAATAACAGCAGTCTCGTTTAAAGTCATCATTTCGTAAGTTCTATGGTCGATACAATGACCATGTTAGCAAATACAATTGATCATCGAGTCAAATGCTGACTTACGTTTTTCGTACCAATTGTTTGTCTATTATTTATACACTGAATTGACGATGAATTTTTCTGTTATTTCCTAATATATCATGACAAGGAGCACGCGGCGGATGTGACCGGCCAGCAGGGCATGCTCACTCCTCTATGGTACCTGATCCCACCTCTAATGTTTCGGAGGTCCGTATTTTCTCTGCTCCTTTTTTGTTTTATGGAATATGTATTTGAATATTGTTCCTTATCGCCACAAACGTCTTAGTTTGAAGGTAATTTTTTTCTCTAATAAATAACCCTTTCCTTCTAAATCTAAACATTAAAGGTGGGATCAGGTGCCATAAAGGAGTGAGATACTCTGCAAAATAGTTACACCCGCCGAATGCTCTCTGTCATGATCGAGAAAAAAGAACATTTTAAAGACAATTCTCAGTATGAATACACAATTCTATTTTCCATATAACTGAACATCATTAGCCTATTTATATTACATTTTTACAATAAAAAATATATTAAATAATTGATTTGCAGATGATTTTTGGTGTAATTTTCCTCAATAGGTATATTTAACGTTCCAAGAGAGTGTTGAACAGTTTCTTGAAGAAACTACGGAGGATGTTTACCAGTATATACACAGTAGAGAGTTCAAATCACTTGTTCTTGACGGAATTGAAAAATATAGCCGTTTTACGATTGGGAAAGAACTTGACGCTCGAATAGAGAAGGTTACTTTTTATCGGCAACAGGAAAAGATTGTGGCGTTTGAAAAGAATACATTGCAAAATATTGCAGAAAATATCGTCAAAATACAACAGTCTTTGCACAATATAGTGGACAAAATGACAGGCCTAAAGTCTCCATTTGATGTTGAAGACAAACTTGGTTCTGTACTCGTCTCGTTGATGGCTCCTAGTAGTACAGCTATTGCCGGAGGTCTGGCCATGATGTATATGTCTGCGAGCCCTAAGGCTGCACAAGCCGTGGCTGCTGCCGGAGTAGTGACTGGACTTGTTTTTACTGGCTTAATTGCATTGGATGTTTTTGACGATTATGAAACCGTTATAAAAAATGCTTATCAGGCAAGAATTGACAAAGTGACTACGACGAGAATAAGGCAATCATTGAAAACAGACTTTACAGACAAATTCATAAAGGTCATCAAGAATGTTCTTGAGGAGGATTTCAAACGGGATTTCAATCCTCCTTCAGCGACTGTTAATTCCCTGAAACGCGAGATAAATTCATATACAAAGGCAGAGAAAGGGTTGCTTTCTATGAGGTTGGCAATTTCAAAAATTCGAAGTAGGTTGGAAGAAATCAAAAGATTAGAGATAAATTTTGAATGAATTTAAAAGTACTAAGAAAACAGTAAATATATGACATTCATTTTTGGGGGATATCATATTATTTACTTTGCTCATATTACATGTAAATCATATGTGTTTTTGATACTCAGTAATTAAACAAGTTTGAATATGATTTTTTCAGTGACAACATCTAATGAATTAACTTCAGAATTCTTTGTAAAGGTAAATAAAAAACAACATGAAAATCATCTTGTATGTTGGTTTTACAAACTCCACAATATCTTTGTTCTTTGACAATAATTATGTAATGCTTAGTTTCAATTGCAAAATTATTTGAAGACATTCTAATTTTTCTTCTATTATTAGAAGAAGACATTGACATTTTTTTTTCTAAATTCTTAAATTGTAGGATTAAATAATGTACAAAATATATGTTTTTCTGATTTGTTATATTTGATAGCTTTAATACGCATGCTTAATAAACTACCTCCAACATAATTAAATGCCTTTACTTTCTTTTTTAAGCCATTCTTACTAATAAAGAATTTTAATTTCCAAATTGCCATTGATGTTCATATGAATTTAATACGTCTTCTCGAGAATCCAGCTTAACAATTTACAGCTGTTCACATATAGAAATATTTAAACCGGAAAAACCTTCGGTAGAAGGTATATTTCCTCATAAAAAATGTTAAAATGAATTATATGAGCCGTTCCAAGCATAAACCCCCCTTATGTAATCTTACAGAATTTAACGTCACAATAGAAAAAGCGATGTAATTGTTTTGCAACAAAATCTCTGATCAAAATATATCGCGCACTGACTGCGTCCCAACTACATGCTTTGTTTTACGTCACAGAATTTTCTCCGCTGTGCTTTCTGTATATTTTCTTTCATGACTACAAATTGTCTATTTTATAACATATCTGACTCTGATTGTTGTCAAACTACATGTGCATTACACATTACAACGACTTTAGAGTGTTCTGATTAAATACACAAAATTTGTCTACACTTCCGACATTTATTCTGTTCCATGTACAATATAAGTTTTCAGTTAAACTAAAAAAAAACATGCAACTGTTGTTTAAAATTCAGATTTACGACTCTTTCTTATTAAACAACGACAAAAAATTACATGCAATGATGATATTGAGTGTAAAAATATTTTTAAAAAGGAAGGACGAGTAGTTTGAAATGTTTTTTTTTTTTATCCGAAGTCTTGGCAAAAATTGATTTGACTTAATTAGACTTAACTTAATATAAGTTCAGTCACGTTATGGAGACAAATAAAGATACGGTTCAGGAAAGATAACTCTGATGCAAATGTATGTATAACTGCTTAGCTAAATACATTACGCATGTACATTTTACTCTTCCTTTTCCAGCTTCTGTTATCCATTGAAGCTCAGCATTGAATTTGCAAGGGATTTATTTCGTTAGAATAACTTATACACAGACATTTAGTGAGGACAAGCGACATGTGAAGCGTTTTGAAAGCCTAAATGACTTTTTTGATATAGGTGTGACTGTTATGTGAGAACTGAAATTTGATACCAAGCATGACCATGATTTGCCAGAGGAGCATCTGATGAAGACTATAAAACATAGTGAATTTAAAATTTCATGTTTCGGTTTAAGAAAACAACTTTTAAATATATCATTTTAAAATTTTTATTCGACAAAGAAGCATAAATCCATTAATATTACCATATCAATTGCTTTCAGTTTTTCAAGAGAAATAGATTTTGTAACAGAAATGTGCATACTGGAATGAAAGAAAAGTCTCAATAAGGGATTATCTGTGGTCCCCGGTTACTTGTCAATTTTGAACCATCATTAAAATACTTGAAAATTAAAGTATATTATTTTCTTATATCTGTTGAATTTGCGCCAGCGTTTAAAGATATCAAATAATTGCAACAGTCAACTGGCGAAAATATGTTTTGAAGGTGAGGTCCTTTGTTTTTCATGAATATAAAAAGAAATTTGTGACAGGTGCGCTCTTCATAGCTTTCTTAAGCATCGAGCGCAGGTTTGTTCAAAGTCGAGATCGTAATATTATGTGTATATCATATTTATAAAGGTTGTGTGAAAATACCTTTGTTGAAAAACCTTGCGCTCTGTGTTTTCTACCAAAAAATATCGTGATTTTGAATCTGTTCTTTGAGTACGTTTACATTGGAGTAACCTCACGTTGACCTGCTAAGAATAGATAATATGTCACGTGATTCCACACTGTCACATATGAATACCTTCGGAAAGTGGGTTTTATTTGGGAAGCGACATACGTGGCTCATATTTTGAAGTGCAACTCGGTCAAATAAAATCAATTTTTAGATTCTAATCCTAATTTGCTAAAAAAAAATGGGTCGGTTAGTTGGATTTTATTCTTTATCATTGTTAAATTCATAGTATCAACAAAGGATAAACTTTGTGTACATTTTTTTCATTATGTTAATGCAAATATGAATAGATTTTAGAGGAGAAGTGTAAGGTAGGGAGAGGCTTCAATGAGAGATCAAATAATATGTCGGGAATACCCTTAAAATCCTTTTAAGAATGGCAAACTTATACATGTATGCTTTGTCGAAATAGTGCAATTCTCAAGTAAAAGAAAATTCACCCCCCTCTTTCCCCAAGAAATGAACTTTTCAATATTGAGCTGATGTTTCTTAACTAGCCCATGTGCTCAGGTGAGCAATGTGTCCCATGGGCCTCTTGTTTTTCTATATTCTCGTTTTGATGTTCCCCTTTGCCCTGATATATTTACAAAATATTCGTCATACATGTATGATATCACCAGTTATGTGTTTCAACACACACAAACACAAACAACGGACAAACCTACATTAAAAAGGGTGTTCTCTGTTAATATATTTTAAAAGTTTACTACGTGTTTCTTTTAAGGATAATTGCTTTTGTACTTGAAGCACGATATGCATACCTCATGATTGAGAGATTAAGTATAGCTCCTTATAATGCAATGAGGAAGTTTTTAACTCGTGTTATTCTTTTTATGGACTGTTTTAATATACAAATAAAAAGAAGGGGTTATGTATCATAAAATGAAGTAAATAAATAAATGAAAAGAAATTCTTAAATTTGTTTTTGAACACTTCATTGACTTATCGGTTATCCTGTTCCGAGCTTAACTATAAAGGTTCAACCCTTGTAAGCATCGGGGACTAAGCTTGGTCAGCTTTTCTTTCAAAACTTTGTTCAGTACCTCATGCCGACAATAAATTAGGGCAATTTAACATCTTTTATGCAAGTGAAAATGCAGGTATTGCCTCAAAGACAAGGTCTTAAAGTAAGGAAGCTCGTAGTGCTATAGAGATTCTACAAAATGGAATGTTACAGAATGCAGTGGATGTATTGATGCGCATGTGACAGAGCGTTCATTCTTCGCTTGTATCAAAGAAATATAATCATTCCAGAAAATACCCAAGAGAGGAAGACCACGATGTACAACAGACTGGTTGGAACCTACAGCCAACCTTGTGCTGCAAGTAAAGCCAAACCTGTCGTCTTGAACAGGGATGTTCACATATTTCTGATAAAAATTTCAGGAATATCTTTATGAAGCTAACATGAAAGGAAGATATTCTTCTTGATGCATAATGTGATTGTAAACCCCTTAGTAAGGAAACTTAAATTTGCAAGAGGTAATACAAATCGTTAAGTCTGTCAACCAACCTTATGTTCTATTAATATAATAGTGTTGCATTATGCATGTACTATGCCTAAATAGTAGGCAGGGTTTGACACATGGTGCACGAGCCGGAGGCGAGTGCACTATGTGTCAAACCCTGCCTACTATTTAGGCATAGTACATGCATAATGCAACACTATTGTTATTATTATGCTGACTGTTGTTATTATTTATGCGGCAATCCATTTGATTTTTTCCTGAAAATAATGATGGTAACACAGCGCACTTGCAAAAACTCATTCAAAATCTTCATGCTTAAATTAGTTGCATGCTTATTTATTTTGGTTACTAGTATTTTCTCTAAATAAGTCAGAATTTTCTGTCCCAAAGATACTCATCTTTATTTTCTGTTTTGTTAGTAAGACTGATTTGTTTACAGACGTGGATTCTCATTGATAATTTTCTTTTACATCCTTCAATCAAGCGCTATATAAAAAAGCGTTTTAATGACCCCATGATATCAATTCATCTAACGATCTGTATGTAATTAGTTTGAAACTTTGTTGTACACATTTATCTAAGATTCCTTAGAATAAATATAACCGTTTTCAAATAATATTTGTCTATTTTCTCCTTCTTGTGTCAATTGTATAAATTAAGTTTATATATTTAATAAAATTCTCCCAATCAGTGATCGTCTCTTTGGCGTAATCGATAAGGCATCGGACTGGCAACCTCATGGTCGTGAGTTCGATTCCCGGTGTGTGCATTGATGAATTTTATTCAGAAGATAAAGCCGTGCACTATTTCGGCATAGTATGCTTACGCTATATAAATCCTTAGACCACTATGCGAGAATAGTAGGGTATGGGTTATATAGAGACAAACTGACAGGAAGCATAATAATATGCTATATTTCATAGAAGTCACATTTGTGAATCAAATAACAACAATAAATTGATAAAAATAAAATTCATTGATGAAGAAAAAACTTTAAAAGCATTAAGATATTCTTATTTAAAAAAAAAACATATAATTTATTAAAAGTTTCAATCTCCATATAACCTTCAAGTATCAAGTCGTTGAAAGTGAGAATAATCAAGACTAAATTGTAATATTTAAGAAAGAAAGGGCCATGAACTTCTACGATTCAAAATTTGGAATATTCCAAATGAATTTTATCCCAACCAGAATTTTATTTAAAAAAAAGACGAATTAAAATTAGCAAGTTCAGAAGAACTTTGATTTGCTTTAATGTAATTTTGGTTACTTAAAGCTGAACACGATTCGTAAAAGAAATGTGTCCGCCATTTTAGTTCCCGAGTCTCGCTACCCCGCAGACCCCTATAAATAGGGCAAGAATTAGAGACTGTTCAGTTTAAT